GTTGGGAGAGGGAGGGGGTGGGGGGTGGGGGCTACACCAACAAAAAAATTAGCATAAGTTTTCAGTGCATATAGTATGTCTACATGTATCTTTGCAAAAAAGTGGGAAGGCTTAGCTTCCCCCTGTTCCAAAGCCTTTGTGTACAGGGTACATGTACAAACAAACTCAACTATTTACATCATACATATAAATATATACGAATAATTTGTCATTATTATTAAATTTATGATCGAAAGTAACATACATGACAAGTCAATTTTTTTTAGAAAGAATATATATGATAGTTTTCTTTAACTATAATTTGCATAGCATATGAAAATTGAGGATGTGATTTCATGAAATTTGAAAACTTAAACCTTTTCCAATAGTTACCGGTGCCGTTGTCTAATAGTAGCCGTAACACAAGATTCTCCTAATAAAAAAGCTCTGGCATTTCAGAAACCTATCGAATTGGACAATAATATAAAATAACCAAAAATATTTACAAATACAAAAAAATTTTTACTTACCTGAAAAAGTTGACAAGCAAAAAAAAAAAAAGGTAAAAGTTGCCCAAAATCGAAAATCCTATTTCGTGGGGGGGGGGGGGTAAACTTTTTTCTCAGTGTCAACTACTTTTAGTACCAATTCTTATGCTACATTTTCGGTACATTTCTAAAAGTGGAGGGGCCAACCAGGCTTTCAATTAACATTTCCTATAGTGTAAGTAAGGTTGGGAAAAAAAGGGGGGGGGGGGCAGGTCCCCCCTGCCCCCCCCCCCCCCCCCGGATACTACGCCCCTGCAAGTTCATCCATTTTTTTCCACTAGAAACCGCCCAACTTTCAGATAGCAACAAAGAACGCGCATTTCTTTCTGATAGCAACCGTTTAGGTACTACACCGTGAGTTATGCATGTACAATGTGTACAAGTTTTCCCTCTATCTCTTCTAATTTAAGAAGGGAAAATGTCTCTAAAAATCTTATGGTTGGCATGAAGTATTCCTGTTCATTTTACTGATTACTTACAATTGTCCTATTTCTGAGGGCCGAGGGTCATCTTCTGATGAGTGTGTTCTCTGCAATGTTCACAATTGCAGTTCCTGTTTGACCTGTTACATATTGAAAATCCTCTGAACATGATTATGGTTTTAATTTCCATTGTAATTATTGATTACTTTTATAAAAAAAATCTAAACCAATTTATTGTAACATAATACTTAGAAAAATATTTATGAAATTTCAATGGAAAAAGGAATCATTATCTCCAGTTATCCTAAAATCACAAGTAAGCATTAATCATATAAATTCACATACGCAAACCCATTAGCTTTTTGTGCTATTAAATCATAGTCATCGCTGTGCAGTAAAGGAAATCAAGTACTAATCCACAGCTTTGTGGCAATAAAGTTAACATCCCCGAGTAAAAAATGACAAGCCCAAATATAGAGGCAAAAATTAAAAAGTAACATTGAAAAAAAGTTCATCGTGAAAAAAGTCAGGGTATTAACTACAGATGATTCTTTTTAAAATCAAAATTTAATTTAATTTTCGCTAGTAAAATTTAATCATATATAAATTTATGATTTAAAGAAACGAAAAAAAAGATTTTAAATATTCCTTTTCTGGTCATTCACTAGTTTGTCTAATTAAAACGAAGCAAAAATCATTTTGTTTTCTTCTTGAATCATTTAAAGCCATATATGGCGTATGTACAATGAAAATTATTAGACTAAAATTATAAGAACTTATTATTTGTATCATTAATTTATAAAAACATGATAAAGATAGAAATTTTCCGTAAATTTCAAAATCTAAGTCAATTGCGTTAGAAAGATATCAAATTTTAATTTAGATTCTCGGAATTTTCTCCGACTCGGAAGATAGTACAAAAGATTTAAATAACACATTACAGAGAAGATAAAATCGTGTTATTAGTTGAAACGAGGTGTTCTCCGTGTTCCGAATTGTATGAAAAGCTTTAATTTAAATGTATTAACTATATTTCTTTACTTAATTTTGTATTTTTCAAAAATATATTTTTTGATCAGTTACGCCATATATGGCTTTAAAAAACGCTACCTAATTGCATGACACTTATTATTGAGCTGATTGAGTAAATGTATATAATTTAATAATGAGATATCTGTGAGGCATACATGTACAAGCACATATTGCTATCTTAAACAAAGGAAAGGGAAGAATTCAAATTAGGAAATAAAAGATCGTTTTTAAGTAAATCAATCTTGTAGTACTGCAAAATGGATGCAGTTGTGGAGATTTATGGATAATATGAGCATGCTGTCTGGAATATTTCCATATTAGGGAATTTAATAGCAAAAAAGAGTGAAAATACCGGTGGTGCTTTTCATGTATTACATGTGTATTTTAAAATTCCTAATAGCCCAAGGGGATTCCTCAGTGCAGAAAACCACTAGCCCCATCCTCAAAAATGGAAGCCCCGGGTGTAACGCGATGCTTATTACACACCCATCATGTGAAATAGTTATAGAAACCCTATATCAATTTCAGTATTGTTTTAGATTAATTAAAACAAATAACAAAAACAATAATTTAAAAAAAAAAATCAAAATAAAGCAGACACTCAGTCAAAATCAAAGACAGAAAGAAGCAATGTTATGACTGAAAGTTTTTCAGTAATACAATGGATCTCTTAATTTGCATATCAGATGAGATAAACTTACGTACAATTATTTAGTTGTTGTCAATTATCCCATTTATCATCATCTCAGCTCACTTTGCGATTGTAATACTGTCTACATGAACCGATAATTTACCTGTTTACAGCTGATTTATGAACACACGATTGTTAAAATTTTCATTTCCCTTTCCAATATACATTGTCAGAACATACTTAGCTGGTTATGATTTAAAATTAAATAATAAACACTTTCGATTTATTAAAGACTATCTAACAATATACGATCATTTACTAAATACTTCTTCGCCCTCAAGAGAGTTAAAAAGACAGAGAAAATTCAAAATACAAACAAGTGCAACTTAGGATTAATTGTTCCGATATATCTATTTTAATTTTGTGCACAATTGTTTTCAAAATTACATTAAAATCTATTTTCCTTAAACAGAAACCAGCAATGGATAAATGTTAATCGAATAAAATCAGAAAATCTTGTTGACATTAAGTGTTTCTTCATGTTCTTAGTCGCCATATTTTTTCTCTCCATGAAAAAAAAAACGTTGTTATGATCAGGATCAACGGAAGTTGATTTTCGGAACTCTCGAGAATTTAGAGTTCCGAATGTAAAACTGAAACAACAAAACAAGGTGCGTCCGTGAAAGCAACTTTTTTGGACACTTTTTTGGACAAATCGTCGTGTCCAAGTTTTGTTGGGTACTAACCTGCAAATACCCAATTAGGGTGTTTTAAGCATATTCAGCGACACTTCTTATTGGGTATACCCAATAAGCAAAAAGTACCCAATAAGTACAATCTTGGCATGAAAAATACCCAATAAATGCACTCTCGTAAACACGGACGGACAGACAGACAGTCGGACGGACGACGGACAAAATGTGATCAGAAAAGCTCACTTGAGCCTTCGGCTCAGGTGAGCTAAAAAGAATTGTAAAATTATTATCCATTACTAAAATTGTCACCTGAAGTAGGAAAAATTGCATTTGAACCTAGTAGACAATACATGGTGATGAGAAGCTTTCATACAAATACCAACGTCTTTTTGATGAAAGTGTTCATTAAAACAATTGAATATGGACTGAACATAACAATTATCACTGAGCTTTGCATAGGATGATACCATTAAGTACATTAATACGTTTACTCCTTCATCTTCAACGTAGCATTTGGCAGGCCATTGCAGATTCGATCGCTTTAGAAGAATCCGTCCAGTTTACACTGCATTTGTGTGTTCTTGGTGGACTGCTTTGACTTTGGCTGCTGCATAAATTCTACATTTCTTGGCCATTTCCGAACTCCCAATAAGTTTTCTTTTGTTTTCTCCCCAAATAACGATGGATTGCCTGATTTAATATAATATAATCTATAATGACTTTTATTCTTTCATGTCAACTTTTGCATTGCAGTGACAAATTGTTACATATATAATAGAATTTTTAGTATGTTGTATAATTGTAAATATACTTGCGAGGCTATTATATGCTCGCCCTGTGCCCCGAATCTGCCATGCTCCATCAAAACTGGCTGAAAGGTTCCTTTCACTCCCAAAATTAATCCATTACATGTCCCAACATAAGTTATCATGTATAAAAAGAAAAAGAAAAAATATATATATCAAGACTACACAATTGAAAATATAAATATAAATATATTTAAATTAAAAGTTTTCCTTTTTTAAAATATGAATAATATAATAAGATGAGAATAATTTTTCCCTTATACGATACAAAGTAATTGGATGTAGCCACTACACGATAACTGCGACAATACTTTTTTGAAAGGCAAATTAAAAAAAACGTTTTCCGAAGTTTTTGTTCATAAATAATTAAATAATGTATATCAAAAAAAGCTTTTCGTCATATTTTGCTAAAATGTATCATTTTGCCCTGCAAAAGAGTAGTACCGCAGGTATTGTGAAACGGTCTATTCTAAACAAAGAACTCCTTTATCAGATTCTTCTTTACATGAAACACATAAAACATATAAATATATCAAAACATATAAAAACACATTTTAATTTCTCAGCAAAGAATCTGTAGACAACTTTCTTCAGCCATTAAATCCAGCTAGTTCCAAACTTCTCTTTCCTGCTCCTTCAGACTCTTCAAGGTAATTGTAGGAATGCTCAGAGAAGCCAATAAACAATTCGCTTTGAGTTTCACAAAGTCCTTCATTAATCACTATGCTAAAAAAGGCATTAAATTTGCATTTTAATAATTAATAAAGAGCAACAGTTCTATACAGGGTTATAAACAAATTCTTGATGGAAAGGGGTGTCAAATGAGAAACTTTAACACTACCAAGCTGCCGCTAATTTAGTAATAAAATCACATTTTAACACCACTTCGTGTTTTGTGTTTTCCGTCTGTTGGTACCTCGTTTAGGTGCTCATTCCGAAAAATTACATTTAGCAATTTAAACATGTGCTAGGGAGAACTTTCTTTCGCTCACACAACTGAACAAGTTATTGAGTGGATGACCGCATAGTTGATAGCTCTTCAACCCGTCTGCGATAATGCCCAAATTCACAACCCGACTGCGCCACTGGGACTTCTTCTCTTCATTTTCTTGCGACAATACAACTTTTTTTGTGATTTGGCAAGTATCGTCAACACCATTATCACCATCGAAATATTTGTGATCTGTTCCAACTACATGTATATGTTCTTAAGATTAAGACTAGTCAAGTAAGTCAAGTAAATTGTATTGATTGTCGACATCTGTAAAAATAAACGTTTCTAGTAAAAAGAAAAAGATAATTTAAATGAACCATTGAAATGACACTTTAAGGGTAAACAAGCACAGTTACTAGCTGCCATTTAAATAAACTAAGAAATAAAGAAGCAACATAAATTATTTTGCAAACTTATGACTATCACAGGTAAAAGAAATATAAAGTACAATACGCCCCAGATTATTGTAACTCTAGTAAGCACTGAATCGAACATGCTGATGGAATGAATAATAATAGAGAGAAATATATAATATATGACTCTCACGAGTAAGGACATCTATAAAGCACAGAAAAGTACCTAACATTTACTAGTACTGACAGAAAAGAAAAAACTTAATATCAAGTAAGCAACATAGGTATCAATTATACATATGCTTGGACATTCAAACAACATAAATAATAATATTAATATATGAATAAAGAAAAATGATTAAATAAACAAAACAAAAGAGATTTCTCACTATTACTCACTTTACCGCTATTACGTATTTTGCTTTTCTCTCTTCCCATCGTTAATCCTTCTTTCTGACGAGATTCTTTAATAAATCTTTCCTTGTTATCTCTCGGCATTATTTTTAGCGCAGTTTATTTAACCGGTATGACATTCGCTTTGAAATATTAAAACCCAGAATAGTCTGAATTACGAATCCGACCATTGTGACGTAATACCAATTCTAACTCGCAATACCAATTCTTACTTCTAACTCGATCTTTGTGACGTATTTCAATGGTGAAATTTCAAGCATAACTCTATGTATGTTCTATTTTTACTCAAATTTACCAGACGAGTATACTTTTACTGAAATTAAGTATCAGAAGTGTTGTCTTTAATTTTAATTGATAATTGCTTTACAAAACTGTGCAATAAATTAAAATGTAATTGATGATTTTGTAAAAAAGCTCATTCTCAAGTCGAATGTCTGATTCCAGAACCTTCTTACAGAGGTCTGATAGGGCATGTTTCTAACTGTGAGTGCAAAAATATATGATTAAATTTCTTTTTCATGATATATCAAGATAGATTTTGTATTCTAGAACAAAATATCAACGCTTCAGAAAATTCAATTTGAGGGAAATTTTGGCCTAGCTGTTATGTAGTACCTAAAATGTAAAAGTAAATTTCAATCAATACTTAGTATAAAATATAATTGAATGATACAAACACTTTTCTCTACCATATTAAGCAATAGCCCGAGACATCAATATCAGCCGGAGGGCTGAAGGCCCAAGGGCTGATATTGGTCAATCGTTCATGCGGGGTGTGATGTGACCCAATCATATTTTTATTATTGTTAGTAATAAAAAAAACACGTCAAGTAAAATACAAAGAAATCATCTTGCGCGTGTTACATGTACTTACATTTAACGTAATTTAATAGAACAGTTATTTAAAAGTATGAGAATCAAGAGAATGTGAAGGATAATAATATGCACCTTTTTTGTTATTTGTAAAATCTAAAGTTAACGTTGTCGAGTTATTCCAATGCAATGTAATATTACCATTAATTTCCTTTATTTTCAGTTGATTCATTGTTGTTGCTGCGTATGAGAATTGGTCTGTTATGACTGTTGGTTTACCCTCAAGTGATATATTTAATGAAGTATGCGGAGGAACTGCGGTCTATTTAAAAAAGGAATAAGGAATAAAAAGTTATCAGTTTAATAATTAATTTTGATTCAATATTTCTATCGTCACCTTACCTTGTTTAAGTATATGTGTTAAAAATAAGATAATCTATAGATAAATATGTTGTTAATACAACGATATTAAAAATTGTAAATCCAACGTTTCTCAAATTTTGTGGTCGACAAAATGTTTTATGTCACATTATTCAGTCATTTAGTAAAATGTTAAAGGAACTGGTAGCCCATTTTCTCACATTGAATGGTCTATAGATTTTCCTGATTAGCTCATCGTGACGAAAGGCACGACGCAGATGTGGCCTTTTGAAGGGAATCATCACTCATTTGTGGCAACTGATCATGATCCCATTTCTGATTTTGAGAGATCTTTATATGCTCGGCTCACAACTGATATTGTAGATTTCAAATTTATGAAGGAATAAAGTATTGCAAAAAATGTTATTCTCCAGTAGTAGACTATCTTGTAAAATCAAGTATCATTTATATGCATGTTGAAAACAATCTTTTTGAGTTTTATTTTACCTCACTGTTGATTTTTGTCGTCTTTGGTTGATTTATAAATGCTGTAACTGACGTTAGTATCCAATTTTGTTTGTGGTATATGTTTGTGGTAAGATTTGTTTCCCTTTCTGGTGTTGTGCTCATTGCAGGTCGAGCGGTAAATATGGTCTAGAGAGTGAACGAAAACGTTTTAAGCTGATAAAAATTTAGATTGTAATCATTCGTCAGAAATACACTGAAATAAAATCTTTCAATGCCTCTTTTGATATTAGATTCAGGAAATAAAGACGGAACTGCGGGACTTCTAAATAAGAATAGACGTAAAATCTCATTGTTAAATAAGACACAGAATGTTTGTTCATATTTTCATTAAAAATATTTCTCAAGAACTTATTGCATGGATTTTGAATCAAAGAGAACAAACTAAAAATATGAATGCACAAATCAAGATTTTGAAAAGAAAATCATTTAACGTCAGTTCATTGTTTTCTAAAAAGGAGTATTCCACTAAAGTATAGTAGCTTGGTTCCTTTGTTCGCCCTTATATCACAGAATATACTTAAAGTTACAACATTATTTTAATTTTCATGATGTATAACATAGTATTTCTAATCAAAATGATGGTGACTCATAATTTGTAACATTGAATATCAAGAAATACAATCCATTTTCCAACACCTACCGCACATACAAATTCCGGAACATTTTCTTTCGAACAGAGCATGTTTTTTTATTACAAGAAAATGGGCGGAGACATTTAAATAAGGTACTATATTAAGAAATACATTGTGAGCTGTAGCTTGAGATAGGATAAATATGATAATATTAATGCTTGTTTTTATCTTTTATTTTGCATATTATTCGTTTTTTTTAACTTGTAGTGGGTGCGGTTCTTCTTTTCGTTCTCGAGGAATTTTTAGTTGTTGTTTTGAGAAAAAATAGAAAAAAAAATACATAGAAAAAAGTTTGATAAAGCGAAAGAAAAAGAGGAACCCAGTTTCCAAACTTGAAAAAAAAAATTGTTTATGTAGGAGACAAAATTTTACTCATTTTGATTTGAAAAAAATTAAAATCAATGTGTATATATATCTTATTCATATCGTACAGCGTAAAGGCGTTTAATTTTCTTAAGGGGGTGGGGGGGGGGTAAGATTTATCTCCGAAACAAAGTCTCACCCCTCCCCCTGATATTACCTTCCTGACATGTATGACTTGTGTATTTCTGAATTTCGCGCTAAATGTTGTACATATTTAATATTCTGCATTGCTTATCGATAATTGATCAATGCATGACGTGTACAAATACATAATTATACACTTCAAATACAGTTGCTGGAATAAAGAAATATTATTCATTATATTTCACACGGATTCTTTCTGTCTTATGATAAAATTCACAAGATTGGGAGATGAAATCCGAACTTAATTATTATCTTCTCTGTTGCATTCTGTTAACACATTCGAATATTTTGTCCGAATTTATGAGCCCAAAACGTGGATAAAGTGTAAAGTTTCTTTGGATATTCAAGAAGCTAGTATAGTGTACATGTATTTGTTTATATTAAATGAAATTGTAACTTCTTTGGAATAGTTTGCGTGGATTTTGTTAGTTTTTTTCCGGAAGGAAATGTTTAAATGTGTATTTATATACATATTCTAGTACATATATATTGTTTCGTGTGTTCTTCGAAATGGCAATGCCCAGGAAAATTACGATTACACGCCTTAGAATTAAGAAAAATGTCCTGGAAAATCATCAAGGCCCACAGTGTAACATAAATGATATTCATCGAAGTCTAGTGAGAACTTTGTTTTGGATTTTAAAAAATGAAATTGGTTAATTGTACTGGTCAAATACAAGCTCCATGTGTAGCCTCATAAAATAAACAAGCTTTCCGGAGGTATTCACCTGTGACGGTATAGATTTACGTGACTTATTACCTATAGTAGGTCAACAAGAGGTTAATTCTATGTAAATGTACTCACCAAACAGATTCAAAATCAAGTTACTTTTATGTAGAAAACATAGAGCGCAAGGTTGTTCAACAAAGATATTTTCACACATCCTTTATAAATATAATATACACATTATATTTCGATCTCGACTTTGAAAAAAAAAACCTGTGCTCGATGTTTACGAAAGCTATAAAGTGTGTAACTGTCACAAATTTCTTTTAATATTCATGAAAATCAAATGACCCGACCTTCAAAACACAGCTTCGCATGTCGTCTATTGCAATTATTTAATATTTTGAAACCCTGGCGCATATACCACAGACATAAGAGTAAACACTTACCAGAACTGTGCTAAAACATGGTTGCTGGTTTGAATAGCATCATTTTTAACTTATACAACCAGATAATTAAAGAAGATAATAATTATTGCAAATTACGCTTCTTGTATGAAAACGAAACTCTTTCTGGACATTCATGTTTTGCATGTTGCACTGTTTGAATGATATAAAAACATTATTAATCATACTTCTGAGCAGAAAAACTGTATCCACACAATCAAAACAATCAACAAATGGACATCCATTTACACGGCACTGTTGACAGGAGGAATTCTTGCATTTCTCGAAGTCGGTAAACTTATCACCTGCAATTGTAAATGTTTCATGCACTTTAATTATTACTATCTTAATAGACGTGCCACACGTTATTCGAAATCAAATCAATTCAAGTTTCCAAATTGAGATTAAAAGTGTATTTACAGGAAACATAGAGAATAAAAACACCTTGATCAAAAGCTGTATAAATTTGCCTTATGAAAACTATACAACTGGACCTGTTCCTTAACGGATGTTTCAGCAGTTCTAGATAAAAAAAAATCGTGAAAAAAGTAAAAAAAAAAATGCAAATACTTGTTCTATAGAGAAATTCACAAAAATCAAGGAAAATGAACATTGATCATTTAGGTATAATCTTTCTTGACTTTTCTCAGAAATATATTTAAGAAATAAATCTTATTTTTATAAAAGAAATCATATACAGTTTGATTACATCTTTTTACTTAACATAATTATAGACAGGTATAATCAAGCGAAATTTAATAAAGTACTTTTTAAGCGATTGTAACTTGTTGATTTTATGTTCATAATAAATAGAAAAAAAATATAGAAACTAAATTACTCACTTAGATTTTCTCGTTCATTCATACGATTTATATGTATTTCACAGCATTTATTTGTTTTGTCACAGTTTGATGCAGATAAATTGAAGTCCTTTTGAATTAAAACTATATAAAGGAAGTAAATATATGTAAATAAGGAATTCTGACGAAAACTATACGTCAAATTAAATATATTCGATAATTGGAAGGAAACACCAAAATATGAAATTTTGGAACTAAGCCATAGTTATCCGCATTTTGCAATTAATTTTCCGAAGTATTTTCTGTCAGTTTTTTGGTTACATAACCGAATATACATTTTTTTTTAATATGTAAATTTTATTTATCATTTTATTGCAATTTGTATACATCGGTACAACTGTTCTTGTGAATTGTTTTAGCCAAAATCATCAATTCATGATAGATAATATGGATTCAAACTTCAATATAAATTGTATTGAGCCTGGTTAAATTCTTACCAGAATTAAATATAAAATCAAGTGATTTGAGTGTGACTGGTATTTGCTTACTGGAGAAGAATATTCTGAAAGGCAATTTGTCATCACAGTCTTGCTCCAATGAGAATTTAGTGTTTTCCATGCAGAATTTACAGTTGCTAAGTTGACTTGATGGGATCTTGGGAGGATCATTCAGACAGATGCATGATTTGTTCTAACGATAAATATAATATATATATTTGGCTAAAAATGAAACACTTAATAATTTCAAAATGTTGACGTTTCCCTAAATCAATAATTTAGGTATTTTTATATGGTGCAAAATTTGAAGATAAACGAATACATGTATATAGTTGATGTCTATCGTTGCAAGACAATATCATTGCTAAAATCTTGATGACGTTTCTTTTCTCATTTAGGTGCATCTACAATATCTTACAATAAGCTAACATGCATTTTACTTTGATTATTTATGATTACACAGGGGGAATAAGGAAGCATACAAAATATTCTATCTTGACTAGATCAGTGCTACATTAAGACGTCATAGTTGGCGAGATGACGTTAATTTTAGAACACATGTTTTCGTAATACTGGTATTTAGAGATGTAATTTAACTCAAGAAAATGTATAGAAACGTGTTAACATTAATAAAAATGAAATGTTCTTATTTCGTTATGCTGTATTCTGTCATTTAAATTAAAATCTACCACCGATGACGTCATATGTGTACATCAAGTAACATAGGAATTGATCATGTCGTGTAAAGAGAATCTGGCTATGACGGCATGTACAAAGATACGTAAAATGGATTTAAAAAGCAAATATCGTGTATATTTTGTGAAATTCATATGGAGTTCAGTTAATAAACCAGGTATGCTAATTTATTTTTATCGATTATATTCTCTTTCGAAGACAGTCAGCTATATACGTATCCCGGTCGGCCTTTCCTCTGTCATTTGTGACAAAAATAATGCAATAGAAAAACAATAAGCTGGATATTTCAACACATAAGATTTGTACAGATGGAAAGTTTGCCTTCTGACAAACTTTGAAAGTGCTGCTAGAATCCCGAGTTATATATAAGCATGGTTTTACGAAAAATCTCGGTTCATATGCAAAAAATACAAAACCTCGGGTAAGGTTTCGTTCGAATGTGTGGAATAATTATTTTACTGATGGGACAGTGGGATTCTAGCAGCACTTTTTAGCAAAATAGATGTTTTTCAAAAGCATTATTTACTCAAAGAAATGATTAAACTCCAGGATATTGTTCTGTTAGCTTTTTTATTAAGGGAAATTTGGCTATTAATAGAAGTCACTTGATGCCGTGGTGATTGTGCACGTTGTTGCGTTAGACACTCTTTTATCTCTATGCAATAGATAATAATAGTTTCCGCTTATCAGTGGTTTTGGTAAATTATCAAACTTAATTTTCTTTAAAAAGTCTAAATTTCCCGAAAAATGACTTATATGCTTCCTTAACATAACCGCGTATTTTTCACTCGTATTTTTATTATGCTAAAATATAGTAAGTCCAGGTCTTTTATTCACTTAATTAAAACTGAACAAAAGGTAATAAATCGTATTTATTAATATAAAATAGATAAAAAACTCAAATTCAGATCCATTAAGCGATTAACTACCTTGGAAGATAGAATTTGTAAATGAAGTGAATTTAAAAAAGGAAAAAAAAAAGTGATACAAATTATTGGTATTGTTGTCGCAAAAGTAGCTGTAATCTAAATGTGTCTGTATCAGAAATTTCACATCTTTTTCATTAAAAAAAAAGAATTTTATGAGCAGCAGTCATAATCGATTGTACAATTATTGTTCCAAAACTTGTTTATAATATCCTACATTTCAAAAGAACTATATTCGGTATATTGCATATCTTTGCCCCCACAAAAATTAAATTTTGAAAAATTCTTAAAATGTGTTGTATAAATTGTATGAAAAATATAAATTAACAAAACATATTTTAGTTTCAAAATAGGTTATAATGACAATTTTTTTTTTATTTTATGACGTTATTAACTTGTCGGATTTTGCATCATTTTTCAGAAAAAGGTTAAAATGGACAAAATTTCAACAATTTTATTGATAGAAATTATAGAGCGCATGTCTGTTCAGGAACAATATTTGCATATTTAATTGATATTATTATTCTACACATTATATCAAAATATTGAGCCTGTACACACCTGCGCTCGGTTATTTTTACTTAAAATATTGACGCAATTTTACATTATTCTATAGAATTGATGGAAATTTTAGATTTACGTCATTTTCCTGACGTCATTTCAAACATATGACGTCATTGCTGACGAAAACATTCAGTACTTTAAAGTCAGCATGAATCCCCCTGTTTTAAAACATAATTAAATTTTACTCCGTCAAAGTTTGATTTTGGGGGCAAATATTGATTACTACCGAATACAGTTCTTTAATAGAACATCTTTTAGCTGTTAACACATTATAGAGTATACAAAAACCATGATTGCAAACAGATATGTGCTCGGCGTTCTTTTAGTACATCTTTCTTGACATAATCCAGGTGATGGAACAATCAGGGAATAATTGTTCTTTCTTTTGAAAGAAAGATCTTGATCTGAGTAACATCCTGCAAAATATTAGATTCATATCTAACAGTAACTGAATTTTTTTTGTATAATTTAGTCTGACATGATAAAACATATGGAGAAAACAAACAGTATTCAACATCAAAAGATCAATTAAACAATTTAAAACTAGAGGGAGCAAAGCAAACACGGACCTCCAAAACATTAGTAGTGGCATCAGGTGCCATGGAGGAGTAAGCAATACCCTGTCAACCGGTCACACACGCAAGTGCTCATTGTCATTATTGAGAAATAACGTGAAAAAAGACCGTTGTCAATTCAGTGTATAAATAATTGACTAACAATTAGTATGATAAACCTCAGTCAGCATTTGACTCAATGATAAATTGTATTTGCTGACAAGGCCATTGATCATAGAACCTGCTGATATTCTTGCTTTCATCAAGATGCTCTTTGCATCGAATCGACTGAGATATATAAACTCTCTATGCAGATGATGAAGGTATGTTGCTGCATAAGTAAGGGAAGCTGACGATAAAAAAAATAAAGTCATTACGTTTATCATAAAGTTTAGTTTTTAGATTAAAATTAAAGTCTTTTTAAAGGTAAGTATCCAAATATATGAAACAGATGTGTTTTTTCAACAAAATTTTGCAAAAATACTGCTTCATATGAATGCAAAAATAGGTCTGCCAATAAAAGGGCGTAATTAGTACCCATGGGAATTTCAATAGATTGTTGGAACACCTGGTCGCCAAAAAACATCATAGATATAACCAATCAGAAACTCAAGCAACTAAATAAAAGTTTGGGATTTAAAGGAAATTATTTTGAGTAGAATAATTGCTCTGTTTTATTTCACAACTATATTTTTATTAACAAATTAGGCTGAAGAACTATACCCATTGCTACATGCACTGCACAATTATACTTGAAAAAAATCCTTAGTATAATTAAGATATGAAATTAATCTAATCATTTATGTACCTATTATACATTGTATAAGGTATGTAGTAAGTCTCCTTACGTAAATGAAAGAAAACATTTTTATCTTGTCGATCACATTACAAAATAAAGAACTTTATAATCTACTCAATGCCATTTATAAAATAAATGCACAATTAGAACATAGGCACATGCCTCTAGGGGGGAAGGGTATCCATGTTCATTTACATCTCTTATGTTTTTTATTTCTATTTGGATTTTGAAAACGTGCACGTTCTTATGAACTGCCGTTGTATGAGTAAGAATATAATTGCATTTTAATGTTATTGAAGTAAAATTAAAAGTCCCCTTTTTTTAATTAGAAATGATTGCTGAATAACAAAATATTTGGCAAATCATAAGAAATGAAATTTTTGATGTTTTTTTTATTTTAAGTTCTGAGAATTCATGAGATACACATCACTAGTACTGTAAATGGTATTTAGAAAATATAACAATGGATGCTCATTTATTGATTTATAATGATATTGAAATACTTAAGTTATTATATAATCCACTAAATTGAAAATACACGCTTCCTTCCAGTACATGTACGCTACCCATGCATAATTTTTTTTTCAATATTGTTTTGAAAATACGGCCAATGGTATTCTTTATTATTTTTCTTTATTGTTCCAACTATCTGATTGGCTCAAACTGGATCACATGATCAACTATGAGAAAGTGTTACAGACTGGATGTTTCTATTTTGAAAATTTTTATAAATCTGCTGTTTCTAGAACTGGAAACATTCTTCTGTGAAGCAACAATAGGCTTTATAAACTGGATGTTTTTAAAAACAGATACTGCAGCTGGTTTTCAGTACTATGACGTCACAATGCAAATGACATAACGATGCCTTATATGAGAAGGTACTGAGTATAAGAAAGAAGGATTTTAAGACATTTCTTATTAACTGATAAAAGATAATAAAACAATTGTATACTTTTGATATGGTACAATTCCTCGATATATAGACTTCGTGCTCAGTCGATATGCTTTCTCTAAGGTCTATATAACGAGGGATTGACCTCATCAAAAAGCTATAATTATATAATATTAATTACTACTAAGCATACCTAAATTACCTATCCAGTGGGAAGTGCGTTTATGGTATGGAGTCCAATAAGATGTGCTTGGCTTAGAGTCAGGACGATGCGCCATTTTTTCTCCATTTCTATGACATTTGTCTTGGGCTTCAAACCAGGAAAAACCAAAAACACCAAGATAACAAGCTAGATAAGTTGAATAACAAGAAAAATATCACAAATGCATATTTTTTTCTAAAAGTAACTAACAGTACAAGATTTTTAGGTTTATTAATCAGCGGCAATTTACCCCGAGAAAACTCGTCCTGAATACACGTACAATTTATGACAACTCAATTTTGGAAAGTCACCCCGTTTTAAGGACGGCTCTTATTCATTTCAAAGCATTTTTAAAAGGTTATTGGGCAGTGTTTCTTTCTCAAAATAAAAGTATTCTAGCAATTTTTATAAAGTATGACATAGGTCCTCAGTACCCCCTTGCTTGTCGTAAAAGGCGACTAAATGGGGTGGTCCTTCGGATGAGACCGTATAAGCCGAGGCCCCGTGTCACAGCAGGTGTGGCATGATAAAGATCCCTCCCTGCTCAAAGTAAGTACCGAGCAAAGGCCTAAATTTGCAGCCCTTCACCGGCAATGATGACGTCTCCATATCAGTGAAATATTCTTGAGAGGGACGTTAAACAGTATATATCAATCCATCAATCAATAATTGACGTCCAATCTTATAATTTCATTGACACCGATGCCGACGAACCGTAAAGTATGTAATGACTTTAAAAAGAGCATTCCCTACAATTATTTTAGAAAGTATCCTATAAAATCTTTAAGAGTCGCTGGATTATAAATGTAAGCACAAATTTGCAGTTTGGATTGGCTAATAACGCCTCACCTTGAAATATCAAAATAACGATTTTCTACATTTTCGAATCCTCGTTATTTTTTCGTGTTTCTGAGATGATTTCAATGCCAATTATTCTAATTGTGATTACACTGTTTTGCTTTCGTTTTAAAATGATTATTCCATTTATTTTCTCAATATTTATATATATTGAATAATCACACGTGAAGACAACTGCAATAAAAGGCAATTTCTCCTTGAAGGCAAAGAAAAGTTGTTTATTTATCAGACATTTTAGCATGAAAAATGACAAAAAACCATGATTTTGATCATAATACAAATAAAATATATAAAATTAAACTGCCTTTAGGACAAGACAGTTTAATTAGTTGTTTAAAACATTTTAAAAGTACAGGCGAGTTGTTTTAAATATGTAGGCAAGAGTAAGAGAGAGAGAGAGAGAGAGAGAGAGAGAGAGAGAGAGAGAGAGAGAGAGAGAGAGAGAGAGAGAGAGAGAGAGAGAGAGAGAGATTCGAACCTGTAAAAATTAACACATTCGTTGTTTGATATTTCCATAAGTGTTGAAACATTTTTACATGTTAAATGGTACCCTGAATAGTCCAGTTCCTCTGATGGAAGAGTCCTGTTATTGATTAAAAAAAGCTATCTTAAAAGGTTAAAAGTACTCTTCTCCATTTGAAACACTAAAAATAACTAAATGCAATAAATTAGATAAGGATATTTAATGAATGACTCTGATTCTTGGCCAGATTATTCGATATAACATGGTTTGGGTCAATTAATGCTTTATAATCCCCGAAGCCTAGATAACTTTTCTATAATCTTTAATAACGGAATATTTGAAATTGGGTGAATTCAAATGATTCTGTACCTATTGTATTTTGCAACGTGTATCTTTCCCCTGGTCACTTTTGATATTGGATAAGACGTGTTTCGTTTTTATCTTTTTAAGGGAGGAGAGCTGATTCCATTTTAACCCTACATCTCGGTCCACTTTATATTTTCACTCATTATTACAGTACCATAAATAAACGGCCTCGACGTAATGTTAATTTTACAAAATAAAGTAACTGTATGTCACTCACATTAAATCTAGTCTCTAAAAACCAAGATCCCTTATTGCAGTTCGTCCCTAACTAAAGCACAAGTTGTTACCTCTACCAAAGAAGATGTTTTACAGAAGATGATTTTGATAAATATTTATGCTTATTGTTCTTCTTTCTCCTTGGTAACATTTGATTTTAAAATTTAAGAGGCAATTTCCAACAGGAGGATAAGGATAAACACTTAATATCCATTATTCTTGAATCCACGTAAAATTTAGCAAAATCAATGATAATATATTTTAGATTTTATAAATTTCAAAACAATTCAAAATATTCTCTTTGCTGTGGCAGACGAAAAAAAAAAATATTATTCAAACAAAAACAAGTATACAAATTGTTTGTTTAAAAAAAAATCAATTTCTTGATATTTTAACAGCAAGAGTAATCAAGAAACAAAAATTTAGGGGTCTTTTTTGCGAGGAGTTGAAATATGAGTTACCTTTCAGGCAGTTTGAAGATCATCATTACATGTTTATAGTGGGTAGACCATTTGTACGAAAGAAGTTTTTTTTTCATTTTGTCATGTATTTAAATTGAAGTAGCAATGCACTGACTTCAACCTATGGACGTTGACATCAACCCTCAAAGGAATTCATGTCCCCTTAAACATCTATCTTAAAATGCAATTAAAAAATGTTTGACATACTTAATATTTATCATAAATGAATGATTCATCCATCTCTTTGCATGGGGTACATGTACAGTATTACGGGATTTTAAAATTTAAGAAAAATAAGACACTCTGCTTTGAGCAATATTTCATCTCTTTGAAGCTGACATAATGAATACATGTATTTCCCTTAACTCCATTCAATATTTGGGTAGTTTTTGTGGACTTTAATTTACAACAACAGAAGAAAATCACTGATTCACTAATGAATTAAAAACAAAAGCAAGAAAACATATAATACTCATTTTCTTCTTTTAATCTTACTCGACAAATTCCTTTTTTCTTGGGACATAAAATATAACGAATACATGTTTACAATTTGTTGATCAGATGTTCAAGCATATATTCCTATATATATTATAAAGTAACACATATGCAGAAAGTATGCTTTTGACATTATGAAATTAGATCTTGATATCAGCAGAGTGTAAAATTTGAAAAAAAAAACCTTAATATTTCGTGATAGAACAATAGTGTGATCAAATATCGCTACATGTATTGACTTCCATAGCTGACTCGAACTATTTTTAATGAAATGGAAGTGTTCTGGTTTCTAAGAACTGGAAATCTTTTTTAAGCAACATACAGGAAAACATGTTTTAGATACAAGATTAACCTATTGAAATCTTTTCAAGTATGTATGAAATTCTGAAACAAATGTTAAGATTTAAATGTATCTATATCTTTCTACTTTAAAAATAATACATTTCACTGTACATTGATAAAGAAATAACTATGAACATTTTGACGTGATTTAATTTTTTTTAATAATGAATAAACATCATTAAATACATATAAATATAATTAAACTATTAAATATTGTTTTCAACCGGTTTTTTTAATGGAAAATATTTGAGGAAACTGATTTTAAAACGAGGAAATTAAATTAATATCGTACTAAATGCACGCATACGAGATATTATTTTAGTCTAGAAAGAAAAAAAAAATAATCATTTTTAAAGTTCATGATGTTCAGTGAAACAGTCTTAATTATGGTTTATTATTTGTTTTCAATTAAAGGTTTTAACAATAATGAGCATAATTTCTTAACTTCGATTGGTCACATTGGCAAATCCCATGTTTTAATTAGAATCATCAGTATAGAGTGAAGCGGACAACAATCCTTATAATTATGAACATACATGTGCATATGTTTTTACAAACTTTTATATAATGTGATGAATTTCTTAAATCAAGTATCAGTTCTATGATATTTATATAAACTAAGATCAATGTAGTATTCTGTAAGAACATGACATACAAGTAAAGTGTACATTGTCCAATGCAGAATAAATCAATATTAATTAAGTAACTTTTAAACTTACTTGATACTGATCAATAGTGATTGATAAACAAATGATTCGCCAAGGTGCACAACTTTGCCAATAAAAGTTTTCGCAACGAATATATTGTATTTTTTTTTCTTGTATACATCTGTAAATATCGTGTTATACAAATGTAGGAAGAACATGTGGAAAATTAATTCTAAAACTTGTTTCCCATATGTTTTACAATTATTTGCTCTTGAACGGTCAAATTGGTATGTATGTTCCGCACTATAAAATGCTTTTTTATTGATTATCCGACTAAGTGCTTTTATTTAGATAGGGATAAATATCTCATTTAGAAAGCGAAGAGCCTTTCAGCTGTACATAATTATATGTTTTCTTTAAAATACAGTCATTGTCTCCAAAGTGCAAATTCGAACATAAGTATTACAATGAGTGGAAAAAAGTTGATCATTTAATAAATGGAAAAGACAGTTGAATTTCAGCAGTCTCGTTTAAAGTCATCATTTCGTAAGTTCTATGGTCGATACAATGACTTTGTCAGCAAATACAATTTATCATAGAATCAAATGCTGACGGACATTTTTCATACCAATTGTTAGTCCATTATTTATACACTGAATTGACGACGGATGTTTCCGCTATTTCTTGGTCAGGACAAGGAGCTTACGGCAGGTGTGACCGGTCGACAGGGGATGCTCACTCGTCCATGGCCCCTGATTTGACCTATGATGATTTAATGGTCCGTGTTGGCAATTGGTCTGCTCCTGTTTTTTATTGTTTTATCGTCTTTTGATCTTCAATGTTGTTCGTTATTATCGCATGTTTCATTCACAAGAAAAAGCAAAGTTAATCTAAATATGGTACCTGCGAATTAATTTTTTAAAGTGATTGAGCACCACTAAAAATCATGCAATGGTAAGTGCAAAATAAAATGATAAATGTATTATTTTAAAGTTCTTTAGTTAAAATTGGTCGTGTGTGTAAATAATAAAATTATTTTGATAAAAAACTATTTAGAAATTTCCATTTTATCATCAATGGCAAATAGAAGTCGCTATATTGACATTGATTGAAAGTGTTTGCAAATGGATTAGGTGACAAGGTATGGATAATACAACGGGATAAATCTAATGAAAACTGTTGATAAAATGTTAACTATTTATTGCATGAAGATAAAAAGTGTACGGGTCAAAAAATGTACACCACCACTTAGTCAACACATAAATAAATAGTCCCCGCGAAGAAAATATATTTCATTATATCAGACATTAGAGAGGGAACTCCGTGATCGGAAGGTTGTGTGTTCGAATAACGGTCGTGACTGAGCTAAGTTGGTTAAAAGAGGTTGAATCTACTCCTTTAAACTCTAGTCCTTCAAACGATCGGTATTTTGAAGTAAAAGTGGCTGGTCCTTTGTATGAGACCTTTAAATTCACCAGGCGCCGTGTTCATGATCATGTGCATGTAGGCGTTTGCACTATAAAGCTAAGACTCATTGCTTACTGACCCATAGTGCCGAGTTAAGATCCAGATCTGAAGCCCTAAACTGTATGTATACATAAGATGCCTTAAAGAGGCTGGGGGTTGCAGTTATTTTCAGACTATTTCGATCTCCTTTAAAGGAATGGTCCATGTAAAGATATACAAAAATGATCAAATTTTTTAACTAAAAAAAATTTTTCTTTGCCGAATGATAGTTGACAGCCTAAGATACCGTATCTAAAAAAATAGGTAAAATCTAGTGTTTAACTTTTGGTTAATTTGTTGTCCCTGACTCCTTAAATATGAGTGAAGAATTCTCGAACGGGTCGTAAAACAATGTACAGTCAATCAACCAATAAATACATTATTTGAGGGGAAAGAGTTTTTTTCTTGTGCAGTGACTATTCCATTTAACACAATTAGTTCAGATTACATACTCTATATACAGTAGTGTGACATGAATGAGTTCTCAAAATGGCTGTTGTTGTAAACGTAAATAAAAAAAATGCAAAATTTTCAAAGGTGTTTATTAATCAAACGAAGTAAATTTCCATTTTTTAAAAAGCTTAGTATATATTTGGTAATCTGTTCTCTTGAACACAGCACAGTGTGTGTTCTCCTGGGTAGACTGTTATAAGGACTTCTAATGCAATGAACCGGGAGGCTACTTCAAATGTCAGACACGAAGCATTTACTGTTATCAGTGCTTTTGAGTTCATTAAACGTTGATTTCAATTTTAGAACTTTCCATACATTTTCTATTATATTAATGCCAGGTCTTTGTGCTGGCCACTGAAGGATGTTAATATCATTCTCTGCTTTCCACTGAAGAGCTCGATTTTGAACATGACAAGGTGCATTGTCGTCTTGAAATATCCACTGCCTGTCAACAAAATGTCTTGTAATAACTGGCCATTTACCATCCAAAACGGAAATATATTTAGTTGTATTAATATTACCATCCCAGGCACGTAGCATCGTTTTTGAAAGTGGGGGGGGGGGGGCAACCTGAGAAAATTTTTTTTTTTTTACTTACCTGAAAATGTTGACAAGCAAAAAAAAAAAAAAAAAAAAAAAAAACGGAAATTAAAAGTTGTTGCCCAAACTCGAAAATCCTATTTCTTTGGGGGGGGGGGGGGGGGGGGGGGGGGGGGGGGGGGGGTAGTGGCCAACTTTTTCAAAGCCAACTTACTATCACTTTCAATTTTTCCTTCCAATCCTTCCTATCACTATACTATGGTAATAAAGTGGGGGGACAACCATCCTATCAATGAACATTTACTATAGTAAAGGTTCTGTTGGGGAAAAAAGGGCCAGGCCCCCCCTGCCCCCCCCCCCCCCGGATGCTACGTCCCTACATCCACTCATACAAGTGTCGCAACTCCAAAGAACTTAATACACCCAAAAACATCACTACTGCCGTGCATATTTCACTCAAGCAATTTTGACGCATTCTCTCGTTGGATCGTCTCCAAACATATTTTTTTCAAAACATACTAATTATAACTGATGACCAGTGGTTCTGAACAGTCCAGTGTAATTTTCTCCTACAAAATGTAACAGTTTTCGCACCGTTAACTCTAGAAATCGTAATGGCTTTGGAAATGGGGTGACGTTTGTAACCAAGCTCAAACAATCTTCGACTTACTGTTCGAGAAGATACTTGGCATCGTTTTCATTTGTTAAATCTACTCGTAAGGTCCTGCAGAGTCGGTCTATTATTTACTTTACACTTCAAACGAACACCCTGTCATCCCGCGCAGTTGTTTTTCTAGAATCCCCCACCTATTTCTCGGCATGTTTCTACATTCTATCGCTCTCTTACCATCTTCAAAAATGTCTGTATTTTTCGACAATTAATTCCAGACAAATTTAGAAGATAAATTAATTATGATTTCTGTCTAATTGGGGTGTCATTTCTATCCCGTGAGAAGGCATGTTTCCAGGCAGACTACAAAATTGTTTATCAAAGGGGAATGACCCCAAAAATTATAAGATACGGTTACATGGAATAAAAAAATTATTTCTTTTGGATAAAATTGAATCGTGAATATTAAAATATTGACGCAGAAATACATCACTAAAAATCGAAGCGAGACCGGAAGCTGTAATGACGCCGTCATTTTGCAAACTCATTCATGTAATATATACTACTGCAGTGTGTTACAAATGTCTTTTCAGGCTAATAAATAGTTTTGCATTTGACGTAAGGCTATAAATACTCTTTGTTCGGAAGTGTGAGAAAATTTAGACATGTTTGTTGTAATCGGCTTTGGTTGATCACATTTGATTCCACCTTTGACATCTGGAAATTGTAAACTTGCTTATGCACACTTTGTTAACAATGCATGAGTGCTTCATATATTATATAAATTAAATATAGCTCACAAGGTACAAGGAAAAGTTTTCAAAGGCAAGTAGTGCAACAGTTATAATATAGTGTATTGTAAAATATTTTTCTATCATTTATTTCCGAAAGGGAAGTATCAATGCACAGAGGCAATTATTTGTTTTCAATGTTTTATTCATTTCTACTTTTAAAATAGTAATGCACGTTGATAAAGAATTGAAAATTGTTGCGGTACTTTAAGCATAATATAAACTATTGAATTAGCATCATTAAATACAGGCAAATAAAATTGAATTAAAATAACTACTTTTTAGCAAAATATTTGAGGAAACAGATTTTTTCACAAGGAAATTAACTTAATATCGTACTAAATGCACATATAAAAAGTTATTTTAGTCAAGAGGAAAATAATGACAAATGATATAATATCAGAACATGCTAGTCCATGACTTCAAAAATAAAATGCTCTTTT